TTATGGCGCTCTTGAGCTGGTGAGCGGGTGGTGGATGCTCAAAATGCAACTTCCAGGTCTTTGTTGGCGACGCCCGTTGGCATGTGACCTTTTTAGAGCTACAGAAAGCGTCCCTCCAAATTTGAGCTATCGAAAGAATTTTTGAAATTCGGTGTCGATTTGGCCAGATATGTATCAGCTACTCGACGTCGACATCGGGAAGACATAACATGAGATAGGGGAGATGCACTACGTGTCTTAGAGTTAAGACCGAATGATGCTCGTCGACGCACGGGTTCGATTTGACTGGCTACACGTGAAATATACTCGCATGTAGCAGTAAAACGACTACATGTCGTTGTGCGTGCTCTTGTGTTACGTTCGTGTTGTAATCTTCCGTCCTTCTTGTGAACAAGTACGCGCTCAACTCAGTACTAGTACACTGCTGGTAATGAGAGATGTGACCGTCGTCGAGTTAACAGCTAGTACGTCCTGGTTCCTTCGATGCCGTCATCGACTGTTAGCTCCAGCGCAAAACCGTCGAGCAATGGGCATAAAAGTTTATGAAGAAAACATTACAGGCTAGTTAATATACGTCAGGTGGTTGCGGCGGGAACGCACCGTGTATTGTATGGTCCGATTGCTGAAGATAAAACTTAAGCGAAAAGTTGGCTTGCTGAAGTCGCTTGATCTCGTCTTGGAGCTGCTGGATGTGCACGACCTGCACGTCGTGCTTCTCGCGGTATTCTTCGAGTGCATGCACAGTTTGTCGAAGTACTTGGTTTTGCTGCTCCATCGTCGCAAGCATCGAGCGGAGCTGTGCGTTCTCCTGGAGCGCCAGCTGCGACCGCTTCGTTTGCTCGACGACCATGTTCTCGTACTGCTCACGCACATGCAGCGCAGCGGCTTGGTCGTGTAGTTCCTGGCCCTTCCTCGAGAGCGCCATGTCGCTCGTGAGTTTGAGCGCGTGGAGGCGCTCCATCGTCGCGTCTACCATGTCCATCGTCGTCTTGCTCGTCGCCGAGTACGATGCCAACTGGCCTTTTTCGAGAAATTCGCCCAATAAGAGCCCGGATTCTGATCGCACTTGTTTTTGTATGCCGTGGAGTTGGAGCGAAGCGGCTCGAAATAGAATCGGGCGAGGCATCTTTTGTACTTCAAATTTGTATTACGCTTGGGTGTGTTTTTAGTGCCAAAAATAAAAATATTCGCGACATGTAGCTGTCCGATGAAACGTCCAACGGCGTTGACGGATCGCGCCAGTGCAGGTGCAACTTCCACAAGCGAACGCTTCCGTGGACGTGTTATCCTACGCGATGGTGACCGTGGTGATGCACGGGCGAGTGACTGGCACCGTTGGGTAGATATGTCAGTATGGCAGTTGGACCAAGATGCCACGGCAAATCCTGTGTCACCTCACCTCAACGAGTATGGACCGGCGAGTCGTGGCAAACTGAGAAGCCCCACACACTTGAAGGCCAAAAACAGGTATTTGAGTTAAATTGTTATCCCGCTAGGAAGACGCCACCTTAATCGCTGCGCGTGGCGACAGCGATGGCGTCCTCACACAAGAGGCGGTCATGCATTTCACGTGCAGTGTCGACAACTTTCCCATACGACACGGACGTCTCTTTCAAGCATTGAAGGACGCCAGCGACATCATCTTGCGCCAAGAGCTCGTCGCGCGCCTCGTGGAGCATGGCGACGCAGAGGTATTGGACAAAGCTGAGGTCGTCGGACGAAACGCTTAAAATTGCGTCCCATAGCGCCCACACCTGATACATTTGGAACTCGCGCGCAAAGAGGAGGCGGACCCACTTGAGGAGAAAGACTTCTGGTAGCACCTGCAGCTCACGCAAGTGCAGCGACAGCGCGGGATCCAAGCGCGTCAGGAGATCGTATTGGATACGTTCCAACTGCATGTGCAAGCTGGAGCAGCCGTGGCTCTCGGTAGGGCAAAACACACCCGTCATGCGATCCATGAGCGCTGCAAAGAGTGCATATGCATCGTGCTCAATGCAGTCGCCACACGTGACTGCTTGAAGGAGCTCGACAATCGTTTCCTTGCACGCACTACAATTGCAACGTAAAAGCACATTCGGTTGTCCAAGACATACGTTGTGGGCTTGCTGTCATCCGATAAGAAGGGGTGACTGTCGAGAAACTGGCCCTTCTCGAGGATTGATGGTGCGCGGGCGACGTCGACGACGTCCACGTGTACGTACGAGTTGTCGTCCCAAGCGCCATTTTCATCGACGGGCGCGCCGTGAATGACCGAGATGTTCTCAAATGACCAACGACAGTCCGGTATACTGCTGGGTGCCGCTGCCAGTGGAAACTGCTCAATGTACAAGAGGTACACCATGACGGCAAGGAGCTCGCCCATGCCCTAAAGACGTATCATGAGCATTTGAGAGACATATTACTTCGCGTACTTGGTGGTAGCCCATGTCCGAGTGCTCCTGGGCATAAATGAAGAGGATGCGAATGAGCATTGCTTGTGTCTCGGGTTCGCGAAAGTAGGGCATCGCGCATCGCGTGCGCACCACGTCGCGCTGAATCATGTGCAACAGCAGCGTCGGCTCCTTTGGCGATGGCACCGCCTCGTAGAAGCACGGGTCTTCACTGTCGTCCTAAAAAAGGATGACTCATCATAATTGCATGATGCTACGGAGGTCGGCGTACGTCGATGCCCGATGGCAGCTCAAACGCATATCGGTCTTGAAGCTGTGCGTATCGTACGCGCGCTACCTGCGTTGTCGGTACCCATGCCTCGAACGACGCCGCTTGCGGTAGCACGCCGAGCCAGAGACGCCATGTGAGGTTGCGCAAGCACGACCACGAGAACGCGCCCCGCGTCGCTTGGCGGTGAATGTCGTGGTGGTTGGATCGGACGTAAATCTCGACAAACTCGTCGACGCGCGTCCACACATCGCGGGTCTGGATCTCTTTGACAGTCGACGCCGTCACGTGCGACGACAGCCGCCGTCGGCGGCTCGTCAAGGGCGTCGATGACGGCGACCGCCCGGCTGCAGCCTCGAGCGCGCCGCAAATCGTGTCGGCCCACTCCTCCGCCTCGCGCTGGCTCTCGGCGCAGAGATACCATGTCTGTTCCAATGTGATGACGCTGAAGATTTCTTCCATGAGGTCGATGGTGGCGCTGTGAAGACGAACGACGGATGTCTTGCCTGCGTCAAGATGAGAATGCATGCGCCACTTGCCAGGATCCCTCATACCTTCGGTGGCGTCGGCAGTGTAGTGGAGTGCAAGGTTCGAGACGTCTGTGCCAACAAGTGCAACTGTACATGGCTCCCATTGCCGCTGGATACCATCGACCTCGACGAGGAGCCGACCTTTCTTCAAGCATGGGAAGCTGCCGCTCGTCCCAGATTGACGCGCTTCATCGTGCTCGTCCATGGTGGCCAGGGCCGGCGCCGAGAAGGCCGTTGGGAAGGTGATCGATGGTAGTGGCAAGGACACAGCGCTGGCGCTACGCATGATGCGACCAAGGAGCGTGCCATCTCCCGGGCTCGTGTCCATTATCGCGGTCGGTGTTTCGGAAATGACGGATGTGGGCGTCGGGTTTCGACAAAATAATATTCGCATCTATCTTGGCAACTCTATTGCATTCACCAAATATTAGAAAAACAGACGACCGTGCACAGAAAAAGAGCCATCGCAACCGTTGAAGATCGATGGTCCAACACTTGCTGCAGGAGCAACTCCACGAGCTTCGCCAAGCCGCGACCGAAGACCAGCTCGTAGAGGCGCTCGGTCTCGTGAGCGTCCTTTTAGTGTACGACAAATGCTATGCCCGTGTAGTCGATATGGTTTGGTAGGCGCCCGGACGAGCGCGGAACGTTTGGTCAGCTGGATGGACTCACGACCCTCGGTACGCGCCCGCACTATGGCCCATGATTCATTGCCGCGTGTCTAGTCAATCACTTGCAGCAGCTATGTGCAGAGCAAGCGGCAATGGCGGCGCCATGGACGTACTCGAAGGCGTTTGGCTTCCAGTAGACAATTCCTCGTTGCGCGAAGCGGCATGCCATATCTTGCTGTCCGTAGCATCGGTCAAAAGCGCCTTCATACGAGTGTGCGCTATCTGCGTACGCGCTCTTTATACTGATTCCTGCCACTACATACATGTGCCTAGTTCTTACGATCACACACATGGCCTTGGACGCGGATTTGGCCGCCGAGCTCTGCGATTTGCATTTGCCCCAAGAGCTCTACGACGAGTTCGTCGCCTCCGAGTGCATATCGGAGACCAGCGTCTCTTCAGTGGTGCTGGACGATGGACACTCGTCACTCGTCGCACTGCCGCAGTCCTGTCGGCTCTTGGCCCTCGAAGCACTGCGAAATTTGTGCTACACGGTACGTCACGACGTCACGAACGCATCTGGTATGGGCCGTGTAGGAAGCGCTTCAAGCACCGCACCTTACCAACGGTGCGTTGGACGACTTGTGGCGGCAGCTGCTGGAGGCAACGTCACCTGCGACCGAGGTGGCGCTGATCGCGGACGTATTTTGCAACCTCTCAGCTCATGTGCCGCGAGCGCTCCATGCGGAAAAAGACCGCCTCACAGCGCTCCTAGCTCGCCTCGTCAATGAAAAGAACGAGCAAGTGCTCATTGCGCTAAGTGACTTGGCCGTGAACCTCGCTCGCGACAACCACTTCTCGGTCATCTTCCTTTGTGCGCTAGAAGAAGGATCGGCTCCTGGTCGACCCATTCTGTACCTTCGCGACTGGGCAGAGGCGACGACCGACTTGGGACTGCGGTCGAGTCTCGGAGCGCTCACCCACAACTTGGCGTGGAGCGACGTGAGCACAAAAATCGCTCTTCAAAAGCTCGGAGCATCGGCTTTCCTAGAAGTGTTTGTGTAGCACGGAGACCACGTTTCTGGTCCACAACGCGCAGACTATTAACGTTACTTTCAACGGTCTGCAATTTCATAACGGTCTACAGCTCTCACTAAACTCTCTGGAATGCAGTCGGCGGGTGGTACCACAGTATTTATTGAGGGGACATTTGAAATATTCCCTTGGTTTAGGGGAGACATCGCCCGACGGACCACGACTAAGGCTTTGCGTATGCGTCGTGGATGCAAAATTGCTGCTTGCCCTTGCTCGAGGCCGTGGTCGACGCTGTCGATACAGCGCACTCGACAGACCACAACGATGCGAGATCTTTCTGTCGCGCAAAATCCATGAGCGCGCCTTTGCACACCTGGCCATGTCGACGTTCTGAAAAATGTCGTCTCTTGAAGTGAATCTCATCCCAAGGGTTCCACGACCACTCTCATGGCCTGTGCGAGCTGATGTCTTTCAACCAGACAACGCCACACAACACAGCAGGCCATACGCAAGCAGGGTTCCCTTCGCAATAGCGTTATAGCGTCAATCGGACGGCATGGCCATATCCGCCCAGCAGTGCTGGAAACCGGACACGCGCCACTTCTAGTACAAGTTGTAGCCATTGCAGGCAGCATAGCAGTGCTGCACTAGCAGGATGCCACAACCCGACAGGCAATGTGGCGAGTGGGTGCAGTGGATGTATCGGGAAGGCAAGTGTATATCACTGTCTACTCGGCAGCCAAATCGATGCGTGAGATGGTGGCGTGGATCGAGTATCGCAGCGTCGCTCGCATTTGTCTACTTCGAACTTCGAAAGAACCCAAATGTTCGTGACGCACGCGACGTGCGAGTTTCGAAGCTGGGCGAAAATGCGCCGACGCCAGCAGTCTGGCCAGCAGTGATCATTCTTGGGTTCGTCATGCGCGAGAGCGGGGCCGCCGCGACGTTCTTAACATGCTCTTCCGGGGCAAACATCACCAACTCCTTGACGACTTGGCGCGATGCGCAACTTGAATGGACATCCTCCGCGACGGCCGAGGTCGATGCACGCTCTTCCGACGCACTCTGCGAGCCCAAGCCGCCACGATGCAAGCGAAAAACCATCGCTGGAGTAGCCATGCTTGCTTTTGCTGCCGTCGTCGGCGGCCTCTTTTTGGCTGATGTGTTTACGCCGAGCCACACAGCGGCAACCTCGCAGCCTACTACGGACCTGGCGACGCCAACGCCAGTGTCACCCGGACAACCGAAGCCCTCGTCATCAAACGCACCCGTGCCGGAAGAGACAAAAGAGTTTGTCGATGGTGGCCTCGCCGACCAGCTTCTGAGCCAACTCACGAAGCTTCGCGCTGCGCACAACCTCTCGGCGCCAATTTGGAATATCACGATGGCCGCTTCCCTTCAGTCGTACGCCACAACCTGTCCGGGAGATCGTCCCACAACGGCCCGTCCCATGGCAGCTGATGTCCGGTCGTACCAGCCGTGCACCGCACCGGTGTGCACGCGGAGCTTAGGCCCGATGTGGTACTGGTTTCAAGACATCCAAGGCCTCTACTCGGCGATAACTGATCGTCGCATGTCGCCAGCGGACGCGAGTGCAAGTCCCGCGTTCAGTTTATGGCATCATTTATTGAGCCCGCTGTCAATCCAGCTTGGCTGTGGCTTCACGACGATCGCTCAAGCGTGCTCTACGGGCACCACTGTCTGGTGTTCCTATGCGCCATGGGGGTCACTGCCACCCAACAGTCTCGACACAACGCCGCCCGTCGCTCCACGGTCCGTATCCGCGTCACTTTTACTACCGGTAGTTGCAAAATAACCCGCGCGAAGAGTTGTTGATCTTCGCTATTGGTTTGCTCTGGGTACGCGAAGCAGATGGTAGCAGTTGCTGTTGCTAGCTGCTAGACGGCTCAACGCTGAGCTTCGGACGAGTCATCCAGTGCAGCACGAAACGCAGACTGCAAACGTTTTTGAAGTGGGTCTGAACGCACCAGCGCGTAAGCTCAGCGCGTATCATGTAGTATACTGCACCATATTCTTGTTGCTGTCGAACGTAGCTCTCCGCAACAGAGCTCGGGACCAGGCTGCAGGACCCTGCTACGATAAGGTGGTGGTCACAGAGACGCGACAAATTAATCAACGACGGACAGGCGATCTGGGTGGTCGGGTCCATGTCTTTCAAACGCATCAGATACGGAAGCCCAATGACCCAGTGATATAGCATCAGTGATCTAGCATCTATATGTACGTGGAGTGGCCTCATCCCGTCGTGCACCGAGGTGGCCATTTGCCGATGCGTACAGCCGCGCCGTCCCTGCTCTCGTCCTCGTCCACGGCCAGTGTCGTGCGTTCGCTGCAGATTTGGCGCGAGTACCAATGGCCAGACTTTCGGCCGCGTGCGTCAAGTGACCCAGCACCGACAGCGCCCCGACGACGCCGCCGCAACTGCCTCGTGCCGCTTGGACTAGCTATACTCGGTGTTCTCGGGATCGTCGCGGTCGTTTTCACCGTCACGACCAGGGCTCGGGCATTTGTAAATATTATCGTAATATTGGGTAAACACATGGCGAATTACGGAAATTCTGGAGGGTCGTTTTGTGAGGATTTTTGTACTTTTACGGAAATTTCGGAGGCCTGTTTCGTAAAAGTGACTTCGAACCCGGCTCCTGCACCCTATTTAATGGACTTTTTGAGAGTCCGGACAGGCACACACGGCACATGTACTTTTTCTCAGAGGCCCATGGGAAAGAGCGCGGGAGCCAGCAAGCTGCTTTACCATGCACACACGGCACATGTACTTTTTCTCACAGGCCCATGGGAAAGAGCGCGAGAGCCAGCAAGCTGCCTTACCATGCACGAGGCGCTGCTTTCCAGAGTCGCTCGTAATCCGAAATGGCTCCGGCCAAAGCGGCACCGTTCCTCAAGAAGTGGCTGGACGATTACTCGTGGCTCGTGTACGACAAGAGCAAGGACGCCGCGTTCTGCACCATTTGCCAACTCGCCAATGCCAACACCATGTTTGGAAGATCCGGCTACGTTGGCGGTCCAACGAAGCGTTTCCTGTACAGCACCATCAAGGCCCACAGCATTGCCGAAGGTCACACCGATTCCGTGAAGCTGGTTTCACAAGCCGCGGCTTTCCGGCTTGCCCACGAGCACGGCCAGCGGGCCGAGAAGCGCAAGATGGAGACGGCGACGAGCACCAACAACCAGGAAGCCGCGTATACGGAGAGGTACGCACACGCGCTCCGGTGTGCGTACTTCCTCGCCAAGCATCGTCTGCCGTACCGACTGATGGCAGCCATCGCCGAGCTCGTGAGTGACACCGTCGACTTGTACACCGGCGGCGACGGCTTTGCCACCTCGAGCGGCGCGTTCAAGACGTACAGCGACGACAAGAGACCACCTCCTAACCTCGTGAAGACGGACAACCGTACATCCCTCTCGGCAAGCCACCTTCAAGACCTCATGGTTTGTGCTCGGGACGGGCCCGAGGCTTCCAAACTTGAGGTACCCGCCATGATGGGCAAGTGGATTGCCGCCAAGGAGCAGGCGAACGCGAAAAGACGTCAGGTTTAATGGATTTTAATGCTCCATAACATTTTCGTAAAGTACTTGAGATTTGTATACTTTGGCTTTGTAAGGACCCCCGAATCTTGAAAATATCACAGCGTCTGCCAGAAAATGATTCGAGTGCTGTGCCACACCATGTTGGCTTCACCTCGTGATTGCCTATCGAATGGTACCATCAGGATACCGAAATAAAATTTCTATCACCTCGATACGAACCCTTTTATATTTTTACGAAGATATTTTAGGGTCGTTTTGTAAATTACAATGCGAATGCCCGAGCCCTGGTCACGACGATTGTCAAGCGCGTTTTACCCGTGGCCGCTACGCCGACACCGGTACCCCACGCGCCGTCGGCCACGACCGCACCCGCACTTGCTGCGACGAACTCACCACAAGCGCCACGCCTTTGCCTAGCTCCAATGATCGATTCATGTACGCACCAGACCCGTACACGATTGTGTTCCCGTTCAACAGCTCCCGAAAAGAGCCCCGGTCGACTAAAGTCTCGCGCTTCGGCGAAACGGAGAGTCCAATCGACGACGAGGACGACGTCCTTTTGCCCGAAGAAAACCAAGTGCATGCGCAGCTCGCACGGCTACGCAATGCTATGGGCATGGAAAACGTTCCGTTCTACATCCGCGAGATCGCTCTACGCGTCGGCAGCCTGGCCAGCAACTGCTCCAGCTATGTGAATGCAACCGAGCTACCCCAGATTGTCCACGTACCGACTGTCAAATGCTCAGCGGACGCCTGCGTCCATACGCTGGGGCCGATTTGGACCCGGTTCGAGGCTGGCTCTGCGCAGTGGAATAAGACAGCCAACGAGTGTATGCAGCCAGCGTCAGACGCGTGGCGGGCGCTCCGAGGCTGGCTCAACCCGGATTTGACCGAGTACGGCTGTGCGTGGTCCAACTGCACACATGGAGCTCATGTGTGGTGTGAGTGGAATGTCCTTCCCACCAACGTGACAATGTACGTCATTCGCTCCGTGACTGCATCGCAATTCGCAATTACTGCCTCCAACTATTTAAGCACGTTTGGTCATGAGTACTAGTACTACTATTTTGTGTGCGCATGCGACAAAGCGTGCGTAGGAGCCAAGGGGTTGATAGTGCCGCACTTACAGAGATTGTTCCCTAGCATATTCGCATGATGCTGAAGGGGAAGAAACGAAGGCTCGCCATCTCATTCGAGAGGCGTGATTCTAGACAATGCGTAACCGCTGCTACTGGCCAAACGCCATTATCGCTTTCACAACGAACCAAATGAGCGCCGTAGCCCCGATCGAGCCTGCTGGCGCCGAGTCTGAAGCGCGGTCGACGGACTTGGCCGCTGTGGAAACCTTGGTACCTCCGCCGTCGCCATCACCCATGGGACGCCCAAAGCTCGTGCTGCAGCTCTCTTCCGTGGACGAACCACCGCCGGCACCAGTTGCGGGCATGCTAGGCGCACTCAAGGCGCACCACAAAGAGCAAATCAGCCCCGAAGAGAGCTTGAAAGAGGTCCAGGGCGACGGACCCGCCGATCTTGCGACCGATACGTGCCGCTTCAAGCGCTTGGGCAAGGGGGCGGGCGGTGCCGTGTACCTCGCTTGCTATCTTCCATCGTTACAGCTTATCGCGATCAAAGAAGTCGTAATGCACCACGTTGAAGACCAACACATGGTAGCCCACGAGCTCCATGCGCTCCACGACAACCTCGTGCCGCTCGTGCAAGCGGCCACGCACAAGTCCATTAAGTTTCTTGGAAAGCTCTCGCATCGGAAGCTCCATATTGGGATTGCGCACCCGTGCCCACAGATTGTGTCGTTCTACGGCGCGTTCGCAACGCCCAACAAGACGAGTGTCTCGATCGCCATGGAATACATGGACTGCGGCACGCTCCAGGTACACGATGAACCATCAAGCGGCGAAGGTTCACGGTACCCTAGACATTTATTGACAAGAAGATCGTGCTGCCAGAGGCGATTCTCCAGCACATCGCCTACTGCACGACGCAGGCGCTGGCCCACATGCACCGTCACCGGTCTGTGCTTTGAGGTTTCCCGAATACACATATTCTCACCTGTCTGTGCTACTGCAATAGGATGCTGCACCGAGATATTAAGCCGGCCAACATCCTTGTCGATCACAACGGCGAGTTCAAGGTCTGCCATCACGTGGTTTTGTAGCTCATATATTCCTACGCCCTTAGATCGCCGACTTTGGCCTTGCTTCGACGCTATCCAAGAGTGCTTCGTACTCGTCCGAGTTTCAGGGCACCATGATGTACATGTCGCCCGAACGGATCCAAGGCAACGAATACTCGTACCCAAGCGATATCTGGTCGATTGGCGTCACCCTCCTTACGCTTTCTCTCGGTGCATACCCTTTTGACAACCAAGATGGATTCTTTGGCCTTGAAGACGCGATCGTCAACGAGCCGATCCCAGGCGCACCAACGACATTTTCGGCCGCTTGCCAAGCTTTCATTGCCACACTCTTGGTGAAGGATCCCTCGACGCGTCTCACGGCTGAGGAGGCGCTCGCCCACGAATTTCTCAAAGACTACAGCCGTACACCGGCGTACGATGCAGTATGGGCGACCGTAAGCCCGCAAACGCCCATGCGACCCGAAGACATTCGCGCGCTCGTACATGCCATTCGGCGCCACGAAGCATCACTGAGCAAAACACGCGACGACGCATTCGACTTTCAGTCGCACGACCTTGCGAGCTCCAGTGTATCGCCCTCGTCGTGGAGCCTCAAGTGCGTCCTGGATGACATGCTGTTTGTATTCTGATGTAAACATCGTGTAGACACGTGGCCAACCTGGCGGCGACGTGCGCAACCTCTGTTGAGACGCTCCTTGCGTTCTTCCAAGAGCCTCTGCCAGACGAAGCCAATCCCGTCGACATCTGATCAAGCAAACATGCAATGACCGATCGCGATGTCCTGCTTAGCTGTGACGCATTAAAAGAAGGAAAACAAAGACTCGACTGCGTGGTAGTCGACTTGGAGCTGCTTGGCGAGACCATGCAGTGCTTTCATGCTACATGAGATAAACGTCATGAGACAAACATTTTTCGGGCCAGCTACCGTTGCGTTGGGTCGTCCATGAGCGATGCAAGGCGACTGCGGTCGTGCGTGGCCATCCAACCTTGAACCGCGGTCGCAATCTTCTGCAGCTCGGCGGCGTTCGCAGCCGTCGTCGTCATCGGCGCCTACGATCCACGATGCATCTAGAAAAAGTACAATCACCAAACGACGTACAACGACAGCGCTCGCTGGGGCAGTGGCATGGCGCTTTAAAAACGGGTGCGCCAAAAGCACTTGTGCTGGTGGTCGGTGCATTGGGTCCTTCTTCAAGCACTAGATCTCACATCGTGAAAGCTCGTGGAGCCACGCAGAAAAAGCGCGTACAAGATCGAGAAAGTCGCAGAGGTCGGGTGAAAAGTGATCCCCAAAATCGCGCAGCCGCGGCGACGGCTGCTCTTGGACGGCATGGACAACACCCCAGTAGCCGTCTTCGGTCGGTACAGGCAGCCGTCCGATGGCACACGCCATCAACGCCAAGCCGAAGGACCTAGATCCAATTAAACCCGACCTACAAGGGGCACGCCGCTGTACCAGACGTCCGACGGATACGAGTACGTGCCACCGCTAATGCGCTCGGGTGCCATGTACCTAGACTCGTAATTCCATTTGCTCGAGGAAATGTAGTCACAGGCGTACAAGAGCGTGCCCGTAAACGTCGTAGCTTTGGCCAGTGTGTTTTCGAGCTCGGTCGAGATGCCAAAGTCCGAGATCTTGACCGCGCCTTGCTGGCTCACGAGAATGTTGCTAAGCTTGATATCGCGGTGGAGCTGGTGGTGCTCGTGAAGGAAAGCTAGGCCACTGAGCACGCTCGTCCCAATTTTGGCCAGCATGGGCTCGGAGCACGGCCGGCCTGACTTCATCACGTCCTATAGCCATTCATCCTCCATGATGCGCAAGGCAACAGAAGACGTATACGAACCTCGAGGGATCCACCGTCCATGTACTCGAGCACGATCGATACGCTGCCGATTTCCGGGTTGGTGTACGCGTCGTAAAACATGACAAGGTCGTCACAAGCCGCCGTGACGCGCGTCTCGTGGAGCGACACAAAGTTGGCGTAGAGCGACTTGAGTTCGCGCAGCATTTGGTGGCGCTTCTTTTGGTCGTAGACACGAATGACCTGTATAGCGCTTGAGACGATATCAGCAGACACGCAATGACTGCACCTTGACAGCCACGAGCTTGAACGTGGGCAAGTACAGAGCCTTGTAGACCTTGCCACTAGCGCCATGACCGAGCTCATGGAGAATCACGAGTGAGTCTTTCGTGCCGAGAAGCGTCGTTGTCACGGGCTGGAACGGCGTTCGCGAAATGCCCTCCGTCTAGCACGGTTTTGGGAAAAATGTGCGAAGAAAGATCGCGTACGTTGATGTCAAAGCCATGGGTTTGAAGTCGCCCTTCGGCCGTAAAGTCAAAAGACGCGTTGAGGTGCTTCTCTTCGTGCGCCACCTTGTTCAGATCGAGGCCAAGATCCATCGCCTATCAAATGTCTTATTTGATGCATGCTGCGTAGAAAGGATGTCGCACGTACGGGACGCCGCTTTGCAGGTGACGACTTGTAGCGCGACGCATCTATACAGTACAAGATAGAGAGCCAAGCATACCGTCATCGAATATAGTACCCGCTGAGAGGTCGAGCGTTGGCTTGACAAATGCTGTCGTCGCGGATGCCGACTGGCGGCGGGCCACGCGCCCTTTCTCCGCTTGCCCTTGGTGAACGCTTTGTTGGGGGTTATGGGCCATCGGCGATTACGAAAGAAGCGTACCGTGCGCGCAATGCGGCGACAGGCGACGTCACGTCGCTTGACCGTCGCACGAGGGTTTCGTGGTTCGGAATTCGGATTGGCGCCGGCACGGAGGGCTGGAGCTTCTGGATTTCGCGCCATAGCTTCTTCTTGTGGGCACGTGACGCCTGGCTGGATGCGTCCCAGCCATCGACATCGTCTTGCGTCGCCTGAAGAAGTCTCGGACCGTTCACACCCAGCACCTCGAACGTGGACGCATAAATGGTCAAATCGACCTTGACGAGCCACTCGAGCACGTGAGCGACGGCCCAGTCGCTCACGGTGACGGGACGCGGCGTTTCCTTTGGTGGGGACGGCGTCGCCAGTGGCGTGCGCTCGTGCATCACTAGCTTGCCCTTGCGATGGCGCGCGTCGTTGCAGGACGCGCAATACACGAGGTCGCAGTCTTGGCAGTAGACGTCCCCGTAAGAGCCTTCGCACTCATCACACATGGGCGGCGTCGGCTTGTGGCGAGGTGTCAACATGGAAGGCGGCGAGTTGGGCGTTGTGGATGCGGTCGTCGACGCCGACTCGGACCGGCTCTGGCGCCGCTGCCGTAGCTTGTCGCGTGGCGTCGGCGCTCCTGTCGAGGCCGATGCGGAGAGCGACGACGACGAGTGAAGCGTCCATGCCACAGGCGATAGGTTGGACGGGTACGAGAGGTACTCGCCGCCATCGTCATCCGAGTCGTCGAGAAGCTCCATGACCGGCTCGCGCATCCGAGGAACCACGTCCTTAAGCCCAACGACGGATCCATAGAGGCATGTGTCATGCGTTCCTTCGCGGAACGGCATGGCCGTCTCCGCCGACCGGTGATCGTTCATGGCACTGGATTCTTCTTCTTCGTGGTCGGTGCAGGCTTCAACTTGGTCGGATGCGATTTGGACCAATCGGCGTCCCGTTGGATTAAAATGCTCGGATTTCTCGCCAATCACATGGCTTTGCCAAGGATCCCAGCTGACCGTATTTCAACCAATCCGCGCCCCGCGCGACTGTTGATACCTCCATCGGCAACGATCGATGGCCGACGTCGGGATCGCTTCCTCCACGACCTAAGCTGACCACGAAGAAGACAATACACGAAGCGGGAGCATGGGTGCGGAAGACCTCCTCGAGGAAGATGCGCGGGCTGACTGGATCGAGCGCGGCTTTGCGCTTAAGGACTTTAGCATGAAGAAGATGACCCGTACGTTGGAGGTTGATTAATGGGATCCTCATGCTGCGATCACATAGAGATATGGGACGAAGAAGAGCGAGAAGAGAGAGCCCGCGAGAAGAAGAAGAAGATCATTGCGCACAAGCACGTGCCGATCTCAGCCAACGTCCAGAAGGTCTTGAGCAAAGTCTCTGGCAGCGTCGCGCAGTCGTCGTCTGCGGTCTTCGAGTCGCTCGCGAGCTACGAGCCGACGATCCTTCGCAATCGACGCTGGCTCCGCGAGCACGTTGCGCTCATTCACCAGATGGACGAGGAGAGCATGCGCTACAAGCGCCTCAAGCTCCAGAGCCATACGCAGTACCGCAAGGCGGCCAAGGAGATTGCTGAGAAGGAGGAAGACCGACATGCACGCATCGAGCACAAGGCGCCGCTGCTTCGGCGGCTCCGAGAGATGAAGACCGCGGCCGACAAGAGGGATCGAGCTTACGAGAACGAGCAGCTCGAAGTACGCGACGCTTCTGACGATGTGGAATGGTAACTTGTCTGCGTAGATCAAGTGGAAATACTGGCGAGACCTCCAGTCGCAAGAGAAGGAAGCGTACGAAAGCCAAGTTGAGACGCTAAACGCAGCGCAGGTCGCACACAAGCGGTCCATGAACATGCAGTATTGGCGCGCCAAGCTGATTCAGAGCCGAAAAAGCAGTGCCATTGCTACGGAAGCGCTCGACGCCAAGATGCGCGCCGAGGCCGCGGTATACATATCTGCGAGAATGGCGACTCACATCGTGTGCAGGCCAACGTCAACCATGTGCTCGAAGAAATTGCCTTGGCCGACGGCGAGCCCGATCGATGGGATAGCCTCGACATGGAAAGGTCGGTCACGATGAATGGGCTCGGTGTGTTTGGCATTCCCGTGGACCCTGGTGACTTCGAGTCACTTGAAGACGGCGGGTTCCAGCCCGAGCTTGGTACCATTCGCTCATCTTAGATATCTGCATACTATGGTGCTGGTAGACGAGCACACGATCGCGTTTCCTACTGCGGGGCCATTTGACATGAGTCACGAAGAAGTCCGCATTGCCCTCCAGGACGCTACTTCTAAGCTGCGCGCGGCCCAGGAAAAGCAGTGGGCGCTCGACCGCGACTACGACGTGACGCGTCAAGACCATGCGACCATGACCGAGAAAGAGACCGAGATGCTCAAACTTTTGTCGCAGATCAAGGCCGACCACGACGACCTGCTCGAAGTGCTCGCAGGCCCGCCACGCCGTGAGCCTGGCGATCTTGAGCGCAGTCAAATCCACGCATGGATGGAGCTCAAGCAGTCGTTAGAGTCGCGGCTTGAGGACGTGCGTGCGCGCATGCGTCTCGCTACGACACAGTTGAGCCGCCTTCGGGACCATCTGGAGGCAGTCCAGGCCGACATTCGTGAGCATGAAGCGCACTCGGACGCACTGCAATCGACCGTTGATGGCTTCGACGGAGTGGCCAACGACCTCCCGATGGTCATTGGTCGGTCCATTGGGCAACTGCCGGATACGGCGCCGATGCTACCACAAGCGCTTCTTGCACGTATTTCCCACCGAACGCGGTTCGAGCTAATCAAGGCCGCGGCCGAGCCGGCGTTCCAAGTTTACGAAGAAGCCCGCGCCCTTGGCCTCGAGTCGTGGAAGGTTGTAGAATCCAAAATACCGGAGAACTTTCTCGCAACAGTACGATATATAGATCTCGAAGCAAAAAATGCTGGATGAAGGAGAGCTCGAGGCCGCGCTTCATCGGCTCGCTACGATCAAGGACAAACTCCTCTCGCAGCAATCACTTAACCAGCGCGCGGATGTTGTGAATGCGGTCGAGAAGTTCCACGCCAAGCACCAGTCGCTTCACCGCGTGCAAAAGATCTCTACGGGCGACCTCGAGTGGTGGAAGCAGCGCGACGAAGACAACTCGTTGGGCGTTTCGCTATCGCCGCTTGGCGACACCATCCTTCTTGACGCACCGCTGCGGCGGGGTATCCTGCGCGGCGCCTGCCTTTTGCCGAGTCACAGCCTTTGGCAGCTGCACTTTAAGGTTCGTGCTCTGCGAAGGCCCATGTGCACGCTGCAAATTGTGTCTAGATCCGAATCCTGTCAACGGCAAGTCCCGCTTCCTTTACCCATGAGGACAAGGTCAAGGTGAGCTTTGGCACAACAACGGCCGAGCAAACGCAGGCCGGTGTCTACAGTGTCGTGAACGACCACGGCGAGGTATGCATGCAGACCAAAGCGTGCCATCATGCTATGGATATAGCTGCACGACTGCCACAACCTGGTGATTGCGTTTGTGGGCACGCGACTCTGCTACAGTATTGAGTATTGGAAGGGACCAAGGTCTCCAGCTCATGCGCTCGGCCTTGAGGCGGTTGGGCGCTTCACCGAAGACGTGACAGCCCAAGTCGACTTGTACTCGACCAAACACGTGCTCTCAGAGTACGTCAAGATGCTGCGGATCCAGAGCCACCAAGGCAACCACCGGATCGCAGCGCTTCTCGAGGAGCTAATTGCAGTCGATGCGAGCCGCGAAGAGCTTTGGGACTCCAAAGTGCTTCATGGCCACACCCAGCGCTTTCTTCGCACAAACTACGCAGCGCAGTTGCGTGCTAGCATCCAAGCCGAGGTCCGCCACGGCGCTTTGTCTGTATGCATCGCTCAAAACTTTGATTTTAGGTATCCAAATCGATGGACAAGGACATTCGCAAGCGACGAGAGGCCTACGAGCAAGCCGTGCAGTCTCGTGCCTTACACAACAGGCGAGATAGTCAAGCAGTCGATTCGCCACAAGAAATCCGCCTCGAAGCATCCATGTAGAAGATACACATGGCACTGCTCGTATACAACAACACCCATTCTACGTAGGCTCGAGTACCGGCACAGAAAAAGCGAGTATATTGAGGCTGCGACTGCTGCGGCGCGCAAGCTACTCGGCTCGCCGCTTGAGATTGTGTTGGACGAGTCCTGGTGTCGGGGCATTATCATGAACATGCGCGTCGAATGGCGCGAAGGCGGCACAAAGCTGTCCTTTTTGCACCAAGTACGCAGTCTATTCACGATTCGGCTTTCGGATGCACTGGCGTAGGTGCTCTTGGCGTCGGCAACGTCCTTGTGGCTCGATCTATCGACGGTACCTGTCTTATGGAAAGCTCACGCATGGGAATATCTCTGTAGGTCAAATATGTTCTCGTTGTGAACGAGATGGATGCTGTCGTTGCACAGTCGCGGGCACACGAGGTCGAAGAAGAGGTGCACTTGGCCCAGCAACGCCAAGTTGCTCTCCAAATGGAGACGACCAAGTCGCTTTTGGAACTCGAGCGGGAGTATTTGGTCATCATGAATCAAGAGGACGCGGCATTTGAAGACGCAAAAGGACGCGACCTCCTCCGCCGCGAGAAGGCGCTACAACAAGAGGCAACCCGTGTATGCCACTACGACCCGCAAGTCAAATCTCTTCTCGAGCTAGAGGCCCACCGCCTTTGTCGGCGCGTCGACGTCCACGAGTCGTTCGATGCGACGTTGCGCCTCCTCCAGCTCAACTACGTCAAAGAGACGGTACAGTCCCGAATGCAGTTCATCCACAAAACGTGGATTCGGAAAAACACGCGGCGACTCGAGAAACGCAAGCTCGAGCGACGCGCGCGCAAGATCAAGTACGACCAGTCCATGGCGGCCAAGCGCGAGATCATCGCCAACGAGGTGCCTGAGGTTGCATTGTCAAAGACCGAAGTGTCGAGCAGCAACAATGGTCATTACCCTGTCATTTTGCGCATCCCCAACTTTGAGAAAGCCGTCGCGCCCGGCCCGGCCTGTACTCACGCGTAACCGACTCATGCTCCATGCTCTAGCTCAACTTTCTTGTTCATAGGCACGTGAAATCATGGGGTAGTCTCTACGGCCAAGGAATACGCTGCAAAGACTGTGGCCGAGAAGTTGCGCACTTGGAGAACGAAGGCAGCGACGGCGCCCGCGGACCCGACCCAGCGCTGGACCGAGATGTCGAGCGGCATCGTGAAAACGAAGCGAGCTTTCGGTTTACATCGGCGGCACAGCTCGCGCGCGTCGAGGCCGAGCGCTTGCGACTCGAGAAGGAACGCCGAGAAATGGAAGTGTTGGAGACGCGCGGGTATGACACCGTGCACAGCAAAGGTAGTTCTCGCCAATGGATTACATGTCGAAATGAATAATCGCTTATTAGCGATAACGGAGCTCAACTTTCGGCATGGGATTGACCGCGAGAACGCCGCGCTCGTTGCGACACGCAACCGCGAGGACCGCCACGCTGCGTCATACCGCGATGAAATCAGCTTTTACGCGCGAATCAACCAGTTTCGGTATCGTCTTGGATTGATTTTGAAGCTTCGGAGCGACTTGTACGAAGCGCGGTTGCTCGAGGTATATCTCTCAGTGCTCCGGTTCTCACTATACGCGTCATTCGGTAGTTGGAAATGATCACGTCACTTCACATGGACCGCGAAAGGACGGATGGGACGATCGCGATTGTTCAAATTGAGCAAGAGGCCGCGCGAGAGCTCTTACGGCGCCGACGGGATGCCATCGCACAGTACGCCGCGTCGACCGAAGACCTCAAAGCGTGTTTGATTGAAAAGCAGGTCGCTCGTTGCCATGGAATTCTTGCATCGTTACATTACGACATCGTAGCTCGCCATCCAAGCACGCCAAGGCGTCGAAGAGGACGCTAAGTTTGCTATGCTGCATGCACTCGCACTCGACCGTACCAGTGCGACGATGCGCCGACTTTTTCTGCAAGCCCAGGACGAGCGTGGGCGTGTCCGCGACGCGGTCCGTGATGCGAAAGAAGCACGCGATGCTGCTGTCATATTTCGGCGAACGCTCGCCGACCGTCTCCTTGCCCTCTTTTACCGCCAAAAAGGCACCAAGGTACTTGCTTTCTGCCTCAAACGATATGTCGTCATTTTCTTAGGTGCACACGATCTATGGGGTCGGCCACGTGCTCTACTACCGCGATGCGGACGCCGTTGTGGCTGTCAAGCTCGAGGCGTGGAAAGCCACGGTCTTTCAGCCCCTTGAACTTTTTGTGCATGCGGACAAGGCCAAGCAACAAGCCGAGGCTCTTCATATGGCGACAGCCGAGGCCGAGATGCGTGCGTTTGTAGTCGCAGAGCGGGCGTGGAACGCGATGGAGCTCGCCCTCATGCGCGAGGAGGAAGCGCAGTGCCAAACGATTGTGGCGTGGGCGATGCTCAGTGTGGCACAGAACGCCCGCATGGACGAAGCGCTCTCGCAGTGCGAGCTTCGTGTACAGTTCCAACTCCAAACAAAAGCCGCGAAGGTTGAAATGGCTGCGGCCGCCTCGGCCGAGGCGACGAAAGCGCACACGAGCAAGATCAAAATTGTCAAATCCGTTTGGCAGCCGATACGCAAGCCGCCTCGCAAGCCCATCTTTGCGCGCTCCAAGCCCGCGCTGGCTGGTGCAAAGCCGGTTGTTGCTATTGCAATGCCCGACGGCAACTTAGCCCCGCCGAGCAAGCCGATCAAGCAGTCCAAGTTTGATCATGCGCGCCTCACGCGAGCCTGCCAGAAACGAATATACATGGACAAGGTCGAGCAAGCGCTCTTGCGGTCGCGAGCAACCCTCGCGGCACAGTTTGACGCGGAGCGAGAACGCGACTTGCGAGCACAGGTTTGACATAGATCGTCACCTTGCGATGTGAAAAAACGTCCTAGGTGCAAACCGAGTACCTCTATGGGTTTCTTGCCGATCTGCTCGCGGAAATCGCGGCTGAGACGATCGCCGAAGGCGAAGCAAGCACGCGCGAGCTCGAGATCACATCCAACGTGGTCTTTTCCGTTCCGCATCCGCACCTACAAGTGCATATATATCGCGCGCTCCTCCGACAAATGCAGGGGCATACGCTCCAACTGCAAGTTATGCAGCGGTCGTGGGCGCGCCAGATTCAGCGATTGCGTTGCGTGCAGGCCGAAGTCGCACGTCGGAAAGCACTTTCGGCTGCCATCGAGGCCGAGCGCAAGCGCATCGAATCCCTTTGCAAAGAGATGGCCCGCGAAGAGGTCTTTTGTCGACGATTTTACCGCGAAGAGAAGCGCTTGATGCTGCTAGAGTCCCGCGCCATGCAGCTCGCCGAGGTGCCACTTTCCGATTTCTCGTGATTGTTTAAAATGTTGGCTTGTAGAACGAGATGCGCGAGTACATTCGCCAAGTCGAGCTGCAGAAAATGCTTGCGCAGTTTGATGCACTCGGTGCTGACGCCAACAAGAACATGTCGAGCAAGGAGGCGCGGCGTCTCGAAATCAAAATGAACAAGCGCGAGATCAAGCGGCTTGCGATCGAGTGGGCCCTCATCAAGAAAGAGGACGAGCTAGCTCTGGCGGTATCAATACCATTCCATGAGATGGACCGTTTGCCTGACGATCAAAAATGTTATAGCTCCGGGAGGTATTTTTGAAGGAGGAGCGCGACGCGCTCTATGAGCAGCAGCAGCTCGATTTTATGCTCGAGCAAGCGGCGTTCCAGGACTCGGACAACGATGACGACGATGACGATGCGCCCAACGTTGTAGTGGACGCACACACGCTTGTCGAGCACAGTACCGAGGTCGCGTCGGGCGCGCCCCAAACACGCGACGAGCTCAAGCAGGCCAAACGCCGGGAGAAGCGCCGCGAGGTGCAGCGTCTCGCGGCCATGAAGAAAGCCGAGTTTGCCCATCAGCTTAACGAAGAGTACATGATTGCAGCCGCCGAAACCTTCCACAGCGTACAACACGCTGCGTCAACCGCAATATCATCTGGGAAGTAGGTTGCGACTGCCGAGCTCCGCGTCATGGAGACAACGCAGACGCTGCATGCCTTGCAACGCCGGTCCATGGACCTTGTTCAAGTCGGCGCCATGGAGGCGGACATGCGTCGGTGCCTCCAGCTAGCACAGCAAGTCATGGCGGGTGCGCTGCAGAAGAAGGCGTTTGCAGAAACGTGCATTGCGCGCTGCGTTGCCGCCGAGGTCCAATCCAAGCTTTTGCAAGGCGTCACATTGGTCTAGGCGGCGCTTGAGCGCGCGATCGTCAAGGAGAAAGCTGACAACATTTTTATGATCAAAACCGTGCGCGAGACGGCCTTTATGGACTCGGCCGTTCTCCACAAGCGCGTTCAGCGCTTCCGCACCGAGTACCTCGCCGGCCAGCTCTACACGTACGTGCTCGATAGATTGATATTTGATGTGCAAGCGGCTGCAGGCGGTATTTTGAGCTGCTCGTGGATCTTGTCCTCTACCGCACGATGGCTGTCTCGGCCGAGCGCAATCTCTTTCGCCTCACAGACGAGATTGAGCGCCTCGACACGGAAAGCGCGACAAAATCGGCGCAGGTCGCCGCGCTGTGGCGCAAACACAACCGCAGCGCCCGGCTCCGCCTCTTGTATCGTCTCTTAAGCTGTGGCACACGCTAGATGGCAATGAATAGGCGGTCGGAGCTCGGTCGGCGCTTCTTCCGCAAGGAGCGCCAGCGCGCACTGCAGCGCGCGTTCCAAGGTGGTGTATCAAACGCTTCTCTCGTCTCTATAGCACCACGTAGGCTGGGTCAAGGTGTGGACGCATGCGCTTGTTGTGCGCAACTCCTATGATCTACGCTACGCGCTTCTTCGCCAAGAAGGGCAACTCCGGAAGCTCGAAGTCACCGAAGCCACCGAGGTGCGCCTTCGCCCAACGCTGCTCGTCCGGTATACGTTCGGACAACTAGGTGCCAGCGCCAGACACAAAAGTGTTGCCGCGTGAGACCACGACGACGCTACGCAAGTTCCAGCACCGCTGGATCACGTGCCGGCTCTGTAAAACACGGTTCGTTCCGTTGGCGCGCGATCTTGGATGCAACATGCAGATCGAAGGTATTCGGACGCGCAGAACAATCGGTTTGCGTGCGTATACCACCCGGGCACGTACGAGGTCGCTTGCGTCAAGTCGTGCGGCACGCGCAAGGGCGGTCCGATCCAGAGCAACTGCATGCTACATCGTGCCAAGCGCTGGCTCTGCTGCGACCAAACGATCGAGGTATCGATCCTCTTCCGGTAGTAATCTCGCTGTACGTTGTCACAGGGCGCCTTTGGCAGCACCGGGTGCAAGCGCCGGTTCCACCTGCCGACGCGCGACGACCCGACGATCGCAGCGACTGTCGCGGACGCCGAAGTCGTCGAGAAGAGAAATCTCGAGGCCGTGACATCGGAGCTCGTTGCGCTCCAACAAGCCAATGTCTCGGGCAAAGTGTACTCGGCTTTTCGGGATCAGCTCGGCACAATTGAAGCCAGCTTGGTCGCTGCCCGCGCCAAGGTCGTCGAGTTCGATGCGTTTCATAAGCGCTAACACACGCTCGCGGGTTTTTACGCTCTGAGACTCGACAGGCAACTTCAACCTGAGCGGCTCCTCGCGTGCGAGGAGGCTTCACATAGGATGCCACATCCGTCCGGCGGCGCGCAGCTGACCAGCGACATCTCCCTTCCAATATATAGTATGCAGCCTATATCCTGCAGGCTTCGGCGCCGCCCAAGGCTTCCGCTGCTTGACAGAGCCGCGTGCAAAATTTTCGCCGTGGAAATTACATTTCCCGCGTGTCTGGCCTTTCAGCCTATGCGCGCTGCTTCTGGAAAGTGACCAGTTTGTGTCAGGCACGTGCGACGTGGCGCCAATCCTGGCTCACAGCATTGTAATACCAGCTTGTGATTGGTCCGTCGTGTCAAACGGTGCTGGACATGACTGGTGACCCGAGCTATCGGTGCAGATTGCATGTGAAATTTCGGGTTGAAGAAACGAACGGCAAATGTGTGCGCCCTCTACCAACGCCCTTGGATTACGCACCTCACTTTTTAATTTGCCACCATGAACACATTTCACCCGTACCACCGCTTTATGAGCGACGCCGCCATCAACCAAGCCAAGATTGAGCGCGGTCGCAGCAAGGTCAGCGAGAAGCGCGCATCCAAGCGCGACGGCGCTAGTAGCGACCAAGGCGACTGCGACGACGATCTCGGTCGTGTCGTGAACAATCACTCGGCCTCCAGCCTCTCGAACCGCGACTCGACCGACAGTTTCATGTCCAAATGATATGTCGAACCCGCTCTCGCAATATTTACAATTAATATTTACAAGCTTGCCACGTCATCGTTGCTTTGATACACGCTCAGTTCCGTCCTACCGGTACACGACTCAAAGCAGCATGATCCAGCGTTGAAGCGCGGTTGCACATCCCTGTTTGTTGCTCCTCTCGACTGTGGTAGCTGCCGCTCTATATACACTTGCATTTCGCGATGGTTTCCTCCATTCTCCTTCGAGTGCTTACAACCAGTGTATTGTAGGAAGCCCGCCACCAGTGGTTCAGCACATCCTTTTGGGACTCATTCACAGGCTGACGTGCGCCGTGGCTCGTATGGCTCAGATGGCCTGACCTTGCGAGACAGAGATGATGGTGGGTGGACTTGAAGCTCTGCGAGTTGACGGCCTTTCCACTGCGTATGGTCCGTCCTCTCTTCTCGGATGTACCAGGTACCACGAGTGAGCGCTCCACGAGTGTAGAATGGACACGAAGGTGAATTTCTCTGAGCTTTCTTGCGCAGCGATGTGGCGTCAATTACTCCCATCGCACGTACGCGCGTGAAACTGAGATTGCGGATACATTTAGTGGGATCGCTCGTCTTCTTTAAAGAAGGCTCTTCATTTTCGAATTTGCCACTCGCGGCCCAGAACGACCATGAACACGTTCCATCCACACCACCGCTTCATGAGTGACGCGACGATGGCGCAGGCCCGTATTGCGCGCTCACTCAGCAAGAACGAAGACTCGAAGGACGGAAAGAAAGCCGCAGGCGACGACGGGCCGCGCGACGCCAACTTCTCGGGCTCGAATATTTCCAACCGCGTCTCTGGCGATAGCGTCGCGTGCACCGCGTCCAAGTGATTTTAATGCTCGCTCGGACCTAATTCTATTTATATTAATACGCCAAACTGATATTGTGTGTCTATCGCAGCGTTCGACTTTTGATGCGGGCGTTGTTGACCTTCTTAAGGAACGGTCTCTGGAATCTGTGGATTCGATCCACCTGCCCCACGTGGCATGCTGCAAGAAAATGACGCGCGACAGAGACCCTGACAGTGGAGTGGAGTCAGATCCGCGTGATTGCTCAACTGAAGGTAAAAACACGGAGCGGCGCACGCAAGCGACGTGCCTATTGCATGTAAATGCGTCCCATTTGCCGATCAACAACGAATATCCGTGCTACATTTTTAAATATTTTTCAGGCGAATGTACTAGCCCCGTTGCCAGGGCGCTTTGACCCAGCCATGGTAGGACACACATAATGGCATTGCAGTCTATTTCTCCATAGCTAGTATACCGGTACTTTTTAAATACCACCATGGCAAGATTTGGACCTGCATCGGTGCAATTTTAAATTATTTACATCACATGTGGGACCATCGACTCGATTGCGGCGGATGAGATTGGGGTATAATCCGTGCACGAAGCAAAGAGCCGAGGTTCGGATGTGCGAGTGTCGCTGCTAGCTGAGCTCGCAGTTGCAGTGATTGCTGCAACCCATGCAACGGAACGCAGACGTGCGTTGTGCTTCGTGCGATTTAAATTATTTCAATGGGTGACGCATACCTGTCCCGTCACTTGTGGACGCAAGGACACCAAAATAAAGAACATACCAGACGATGCGAGATTGATGATGGCCACGACCAGACACGGTCTCAGTCACACGGCCACTGAATTTCGCGTCGCCTGCACACAGTGTGAAATATTTTAGCGTCGTAAAGTTAAGTTGACAGCGATTACTGCCACAAATAAGCTCGTCTGCGGGGGAATAGATATGGATATGTGGGACTGGGTCAGCCGTCGCTTCCGGTGTAGCCGCTTTTCTCGTTCATTCTCCAATTGGCTCGGCCAAGCACACTACATCATCATGAACACATTCCATCCTTACCGCCAGTACATGAGCAACGCCCCTCTGGTCCAAGCCAAAATCGACCGCGCGCGTGCGAGTGCCTCCGACAAGAGTACAAAGAAGGACATCAACAACGACGACAGTGACGACAGTGTTCGGGGCGTCAACTTGTCTGGCTCGAGCATCTCCAACTGCGGCTCGATCCAGAGCGGTGTGAGCACGTCGTCGAGCTAACCAGTGTCCGTCAGCGAACGTCTATTTATCATAAGTCAACCTATTTTTCACCTGAATATGCTGATCCACCTTATCGCGCTTGTTCCCTGTATTACATTCCTACGATTTGAAGACTCTTGAGAGGCATCGCGTCACGGAGCACCAGTGTACTAGTTTGGGAACGCGCCGTGTAACATCGATTCCACTTACGTCTGAGGTATCGAAGTTCGCCTGCTTGTGGGCCAAAGACGTATTAACGACGCGGTCGAGAGACTTGGATGGCGAGCTTTATGTTGAGTCCAAACGCTTCGAGGCTACGGCTCCGAATTAGAGACACAAGAATCACTGGCACAGCATCAAGGCTCATGATCAAGGCCATTCATATCTTTCGTTGCGGTACTACCAACGGACGCGGTGGAGATGTCTGGCTAGCGATGCTCGATAAAATTGGGAGGGACATGATTGCGTGGCAGTGCCTTGGCTTCTATAAATAGGTTCGTCGTCGAGCACGGCCGTTGGCGCCAAATCAGGAAATCAAAGGTCCTCGTGAAACCACCTCATCAGGCTGCGACCCCGATGCCAATCATCTGGATTCGGTGTGAACCAGCGCCAAACTTGCGCGCACTCCATGCCGAGCCGGTGTTGCATTCTCCACTGAACAAACTGATTATCTAAAGTTTCGAAAACGAAATCTGCGTCCAATCGCTCAGCTGCATAGCTTTCTTTAAACTTGAGCAAGCTAATGTGTACTAGTATATAGGCATTTGTGCAGTGTATACACACCGAAATTTGCAGTGCGTGCTGGCGCAAGCTGAAGCAGCTCTCGGTTCCTTTCAAGAACAGTAGCATTTCCTTGGTGAAACACATATCTATAAACCACTCGTGACGCGTACAGCACCACAAGATAGATCGTTCAAGAGTAAATCACTTGCGAGCACCAAGGATATACCCTTGCAAGCACCAACCAGCCCCTGTCCCTATGTTCAGAAGATTGTATATTCGGTCGCTGGACCAGCAGTGGCGCTCGGAATCCTGTGGTCGACAAAGACGTCTCTCTCGTGGGAACAATAATCGTTCAAGAAGCATCGCGGCGCAACATCGCGTTCATTTTGCGTGATCCAATTGTGATCCATGCCAAGTAGATCATCAACGGGTGCGGTTGAAATCCAATGGCTGGAGCGGCTCCGGAATGGGTCTCGGCCCGCCGTCGGATAATAATTGCACTATCCAGTAGCACTTGAAGTAACACCGCCAATTACTTGCATTGATAACCGTCCGCGATCACTTGCTTGGTCGTGAATGGACGAAACAAGGGAATCCGTACGTAGCGTCGCACCCACGGCCTCACGTGGCGCAGTGCAAAGCCACGGCGTCACGACCAATAATGCGAGGCCGATTGCGCATCCTACTTTCTGTTTACGCACCGGTATGGGCTCTTTGTCAAAGCGACCCGAGATCGCCCTTGTCGTGGCCGAGATGCTCGTTGAAGCTAGTAGCCATCCCTTTCTCCCGCGGAATATACGCTCCGGCCTCCAAGTATCTAATGCCAGCGCCGTGCCTCGTTGAAGGCGACAGCGTCGACTCTGAAAACGCATGTCACGCGCCCGCGCTGCCGTCGGTCACAGGAAAGTGCAATTATTCAAAGAGAGAGGTTTCCGGATACGCACGGCCAGCATGCCACCCGATGGAGCGGTTTTTAATGTCACTGGAACAATGTAGCAGGTCGCGTGACCCGTTTTGGATATAAATACTGGCTTATCCGGATACGGCCTTTCATGCAGCATCGCGATGGACTTTTTGATTTGGCCTCCACCGAGCATTGAGCAGCATGGCCAGCAAGTCCTCCAA